TAGTGCGCGCAAGGCCACTGCTCGTGTGAACGGGTTCACTTTGCCGGTGCAGACAGCGCCCTTTAACCCTTGAAGCTGTCAAAACTGTCGACTGAAATTTGAATAATTTCGTTCCGGTATGCATGTAAAAATTTCGGCAAATCGATTCAAGTATACTACTGAACGCTGAAAAAAAACTCGCACCCATCGGGTCAAAGCGTGCCCATGTTGGAGTCAGCTCCAGCGCTTTAACATCCCCCTCCAGTATGCACTTACTTTACCGTCGTTACCAGAGGACCGCCACCCGGGTCGGTGGAGAGTGATAGAAGGTTATGGCACCAAGCACGTTGTGTTCCAGGTCATACCATTACCGTTACTTTACTGTCTTCAGCAGACACGTTTCCATATTAAATGACAAAGAAGTCTGCTGGGATACCAACAAATACATTTTTTAAAAAGCTTCTTTCCAACCGTCACTCGCAGCCCTGCGACCAGGAGTGCCCCACCCGCAGCACAGCAACCAGGAGTGCCCCACTCATAGCACAGCGACAACATAACCTTACGTTACACCACCTGAACGGAGAATAGCAAGTCGCTGCGCTCCTAGCCAAGAAAGAGTGAACAAAAAGCATAACTGAAATAAGCTAGCCTTTGCATTTTAGATAATACTGCAGTCATAAGAAAAGGACAGGAAAAAGTCATACCTATGGGTATCATTTGACTGACCACCAAGCCTTTCCTAGTAACAGGTGAATATTGCCAGGGCTTTTACACGCATATAGAGCTCGACGAGCTTTGGCGAAATTAATGCATAAGTCAGGCTGGTCATGCTGTGAGCCTAACCAGCTAAGCGCGACCTTCTTGCTGGTCACACCCTGGGGCTAGCACCGGTTAATGACTGTTGCCTAACCAGCCAAGCGCGACCTTCTTGCTGGTCACACCCTGGGGCTAGCACCGGTTAATGGCTGTTGCCTAACCAGCCAAGCGCGACCTTCTTGCTGGTCACACCCTGGGGCTAGCACCGGTTAATGGCCGTTGCCAAGGTTCTTTAAATGTTTAAGTGTGTCATCAGCTATAGACTACATCAACGTGCATGGAGCCTACGTGTCTATCATAATATTCGTTTTGACTGGAAGGAGAATATTTTACACTTAATTCTCCCTGCACACGGCTTTGTATGTGTTGAAGTAATGCTGTCGTTATTCGAAACGTACGTGCGCGGCTACTCCGAAAGTGAAAACAACGCGTGCCTTTGAAAAGTAGTCATCCACCGGAAAATACGCAAGCGTCTTCCCCGAAATGCTCGTTTTAAAACATTACACAACAGAAAACGGGAAGCACTTGCGCTATTTACGTGATCTATCAGCACCAGATAAGTCAAACACTCCTGGGAGATCCTAAAATCTCGTTCATCAAAAATCGAGCGAACGATGCCGCGTGAAACTACCAACCAACGTCTCCGGTGTCCGGAGGACATGTCAGGATGCTGACAGAAGTCAAGAGCAGTGCACACATCTGCGCCAAATCGGGCAGCCCAACCGCGGCCGACAGCGGGTTACGCCGGGGACCGCAGCCGACAGCGGGTTACGCCGGGGACCGTAGCCAACGGCGGGTTACGCCGGGGACCGCAGCCAATGGCAGGTTACACCGGGGACCGCGGCCGACAGCGGGTTATGCCAGGGACCGCAGCCGACAGCGGGTTATGCCGGGGACCGCAGCCAACGGCGGGTTACGCCGGGGACCGCAGCCAACGGCGGGTTACGCCGGGGACCGCAGCCAACGGCGGGTTACACCGGGGACCGCAGCCGACAGCGGGTTACGCCGGGGACCGCGGCCGACGGCGGGTTACGCCGGGAACCGCGGCCGACGGCGGGTTACGCCGGGAACCGCGGCCGACGGCATGTTAATCCGGGGTCCATCATGTCAGCAAATGGCATGCCGTTGTCCGCATTCGATTGGGCTACAGTTGATGAAGCATGATGTCGACCCACTTTCAACAGTAATAGAGTGAGAAAGAAAACAGGAGGTACTTACACAATGCGATCATTGTTGCGATAAGATAGTCTGTAAAACAGATACATTGAGAAAGCAATATAAATGTACACCTGTTAAAAAGTGCCCATTCAGTTGCGTGTGCTTTCATATGGTGTGTTGAGATTTCCTTTGAGCACACGATTGTATCGTTGTCAAATGTCAAAGGTCCGAGATGGCTTCTCGTCTGTTGTGGCGCTCTGCCGGCCGCCTGGCTGCAGCCTCCCCAATATCGGTGCCCCTGTCGGCCCTCAGCGCTCCTGCCGGGCGGCGGACGTGACGGGCGACCTAAGCGGACGCGTGCCGGACTCGTGGCTGCGTCCGCAGTTGGCGGAGGAGCAGGAGCCGCTGACGGAGCGGGCGCCCCCCGCCGTCACGCGGCCGGTGCCGGCCGCCTGGCTCCGGCCGGTGCCGGCCGAGACGCTGCAGTCGGCCGGCCCGCTGCTCTTCGAGACTGAGACCGAGCTCACGGGGCGCAACGGACCGACGCTGCAGCAGCGCTGGGTGACGCCGCTGCAGCTGCTGGACGCGCCGGCGCAGACCGTCCAGAACGGCGCCACGCGTGAGTCTCCGGCGTACCCTGACTGCGTGGCAGTAACACCGCACTTGTCCCCGGCCGTACCGCCGCCACGCCGATGGCCATATCGATCAACTCAAATAAATACATTACACACACACACACACACACACACACACATATATATATATATATATATATATATATATATATATATATATATATATATATATATATATATACTGGGACGATGCGAACCGGTAGCTTCGGTGGGAAATACCTCAGTCTACAAGGTCGGGACCGTTTTGAGGGTTTACAGCTGTCAAATTGGCAATCAAGTGATTGTGATGTGAATGGCTTGGGGTCTGACCACTCCCAGACATTATATCAGCACACAGACGGAACGGATTCAGTTGAAATATCCTCGACTTAACAGATATGCTCACTTATATAAAACCGTTGCATTATGTCAGCACTTGGAGTTTCTAAAAGAAGCTCTTCGGTGTCTTCAGATTCCCTTAGTGAGCCTGATAATATTCCAGTCATCACACACAATTCAATAAGCCATGGCTGAAGCAGGATTCTGAAGGCTTAAGAAAGAAGCGTCTATTTGCATTATTTGCTTAGGTTTCGGCCCCTCCCCTTGTGATTGAAGCTTTACAAAAGCGTAGGAAAAACTTTACTATTACACAAAGCCTATTTTCTTTTGGTATTATTTGCTAGCCATAGTTACGATACCGCTCGAATTGAGGACTAATTTTTGCATGGTACCAAAATTGCGAGTAATGGCAGCCCTCCAATATTAAGTTGCAAAAATCACTTCAGCATCTCAACTTTGTGGGCGGGGAGGTCGCTGGCACTCGACTCGGTCCTTTAAAAATTGACGCCTCTGATGCAAGAGCTTCCGTTCACCAAAATCCTTAATGATAATCTGATCCTACTTTGTAGCAATTCGTCAGTGCAGGTATACGATTTTGCGTGTTGTAAATGCCGTTAGCAAGATAAAATAATGCCATTGGAAAGAAGTCTGGGCTTGGTTTCGATACGATTGGAGCTCTTGCGGCCAGCGATAACCATTCCAGAGCGATGAGATGAAGGCCAGAGGTGAATGGTGGGGCAAGATTGCAGCCATGTGGGAGACCTCTGTTACCAAAGCTGCGGCCAGAGGTGAATGGTGGGGTAAGACTGCAGCCATATGGGAGACTTCCGTTACCAAAGCTGCGGCCAGAGGTGAATGGTGGGGCAAGACTGCAGCCATGTGGGAGACTTCCGTTACCAAAGCTGCGGCCAGAGGTGAATGGTGGGACAAGACTGCAACCATGTGGGAGACTTCCGTTACCAAAGCTGCGGCCAGTGGTGAATGGTGGGGCAAGACTGCAGCCATGTGGGAGACTTCCGTTACCAGAGCTGCGGCCATCTGGGTGTCCTCTGTTACCGAGGCTGCTCTGCACAGTGTACCCTAATTGGAGCATGTGCGGGCTCTTGGTCGGGTGCGGGCAAGGGAGCACGTAAGCCCCATCGTTGCTGATGTGGAGCATGTGCGGGCGCTTGGTCGAGTGCGGGCAAGGGAGCACGTAAGCCCCATCGTTGCTGATGTGGAGCATGTGCGGGCGCTTGGTCGAGTGCGGGCAAGGGAGCACTTAGGCCCCATCGTTGCTGATGTGGAGCATGTGCGGGCGCTTGGTCGAGTGCGGGCAAGGGAGCACTTAGGCCCCATCGTTGCTGATGTGGAGCATGTGCGGGCGCTTGGTCGAGTGCGGGCAAGGGAACACTTAAGCCCCATCGTTGCTGATGTGCGCAACTTTCTTCGCTCCGCTGTGGGGATTTAGAGTGAAGCGGCGAATGAGAAAAGGGCAACTAAAATACACCAGTTATGATATCTCATTGTTCCCAACCACCTACCTGCCAGTGCACATAGAATTAGTTCGAGGCGTTCGAGCGTCACCAAATGGTGTGCTCGCATCCGGCCCATGATAACAATAAGCTGGAGGGTTTGACGCCGCCTCCTTCGTGATTGACAGTGCCCGACTCGGGGAAGTTTAGCCTGGGCAGCGGTGTAGAAGTTAAATTCACATCGCCCAACTACCCGAACGAGTATCCGGCCTACGTTTGGACAACGTGGATATTCGAGGTAACTGGAATTTGTTGAGGCGTTCAAGTAACTGTTCCTGTAAAACATCAAATACGACGCGACGCGCAGGGAAAGTTAACTAAAATTGCAAGGCTGCCAAACAAAACTTTCGCAGAGCTTTCAAGCTCATTACAATTGTTACTCTGATCTCGTCTCCAAGAAGACAGGACATCAATGTAGTGAAAAAGATGTTTCCGTTATTGTTGCGTTTTTTCGTAACACGTAATCCAACAAAAAGCGTAAACATTACAGCTTTTGTATTGGACAGCGTAGACGTGTTTGCGCCTTGAAATAAGGTGTTTTATGTAGCATCGAAGCTTATCTGGATACGGCTTCCAATTGATGTTTGTTGCCACGTACTGTGGCCGTGTGAGCGCCGTCCAGCGCTGGACCAAACTAGCCTCGCCTGTGGCCAGGCCCCCAGCAGCGGCGCCGAGCTGCGGCTGTCCTGCGACACCTACAAGCTGGGCGCCGGCGACTATGTCATCGTCACCAGCGGTGGCGACAGCCGCGAGGTGTTCTACTCCACCTCCTCGGCGCCTGTCGTCACCTCGCAGGCTACACTCCAGGTCGAGTTCAGGACCAACAGCCTCGACCACGGACGGGTGCGCTGCTCAGTACGCTCTAAATTCGGATCCGGATCCGGATCTGGATCGGGGTCTGAAGCAGGTGCAGGGTCTGTGTCTGGAACCGAGTCTCCTGCAGGATCTGGGTCCGGATCCGGGGCAGGATCTCAAGGAGGACCCGGGTCCCAGACCGGATCCGGACCTAGTTCAGCAGGTGGCGGACCCAGCTGGCTGAACGAGTCCTCCTGCGGCCAGACTAAGTACGACACGCGGATCGTCGGCGGTGGCCCAGCGCAGCCCAACGCCTACCCCTGGCTGGTGAGTGTCCCACCGAGCTCCAGCTGTACCTGGAATGGTGGGCTCCCTTCCGGCGGCTTGACCACGTGGCGTACCATGTCGACAAGTCGGTCTGAACGTGTGACGTGCCCTGTGGACTGGTGGGTCTAAACATGTGGCGTACAATGTCGGCAGGTGGGTCTTGTGTCTCCGAGGGGTCAGAGTCCGTTCTGCGGCGGCAGCATCATCAACGAACGCTTCGTCCTGACGGCCGCTCACTGCGTCAAGGGGTGAGCGCAGACCGGGGCAGGAGGAGCGCGGGCGGCAGAGCCGGGAGGTGGACAGGTGGCTGGGCAGGCAGGTGGACAGATGTTTGGTCGTTCAGCTTTAAACTCAGCGTACTGACATCCATTCGGAAGCAAAATTGAAGCAGAGTACCAAGCCATGTTCTCCTGCTCAGATAGTTGGCCTTGAGCGTCGCGAATAAGTTCCAATTTACCCGCTCCGGCAGTCGGACGTCGAGCAGACTGAACGTGATGGCTCGGAAGCACCAGCGCAGCAGCGATACTGACCAGGTTAGGGTTCAGGTGGAAAAGATCATCATCCACCCCGGATACAACCGGTTCACCCAGGACAAGGACCTCGCCCTGATAAAGTAAGTGTGTTGCCAAAAAGTCTGGCACATACACCATGGTTTATCCGACAGTTGCTGCATGTCACCACCATTTTTGATCAACGTGAACGCATCACCAGCTTGTCACAATTGTATTTTGGCGCGGCAACATTACATCCTATCAACTAACGGCTATTACCCTCCCAACTATTGCCAGTTTGCATTTGCAACATGTTTATCATGCCCGTAACCACACATGCATGTTCATCAGCAATGACAATTACCGGTGAGGTTAACGGCACCAATACCACCGACACATGCCAAGTGCGCCTTTGACAAGTTTATGACACGTCTCTGACGGACCTCTAAAGCGCCCTGACCGCCTCCCTTTGACAAGTTTGTGACACGTCTCTGACGGACCTCCAAAGCGCCCTGACCGCCTCCCTTTGACGAGTTTGTGACACGTCTCTGACGGACCTCTAAAGCGCCCTGACCGCCTCCCTTTGACAAGTTTGTGACACGTCTCTGACGGACCTCTAAAGCGCCCTGACCGCCTCCCTCTGACATGTTTGTGACACGTCTCTGACGGACCTCTAAAGCGCCCTGACCGCCTCCCTTTGACGGACCTCAAACAGACTGCTGGCGGGTCAGACCCCGATCAACCTCACGCGAGCCCACAACGCGACTCAGGCGCTGAGAGGCCCCTGAACCACCTCTGACCGGTCTCTGGCGGGCCTCAGACGGGTCTCTGACGAGTCTCTCTCTGGCCTCTGACGGGCCTTTGTCTGGCTTTAGACGGGCATGTCTCTGACCATTTACGGGCCTCTGACATGCCTGAGTCTGGCTTCTGGTGATCCTCTCTCCGGCCTCTGACGAGCCTGTGTCTGATCCCTGACGGGCCTCTCTCCGGCCTCTGACGAGCCTGTGTCTGATCCCTGACGGGCCTCTCTCCGGCCTCTGACGAGCCTGTGTCTGATCCCTGACGGGCCTCCCTCCGGCCTCTGACGAGCCTGTGTCTGATCCCTGACGGGCCTCCCTCCGGCCTCTGACGCACCTCTCCCTGACCTCTGTCGTACCTCCGTCTTTCCTCTGACGGACCTCCAACGTGCATCTGACCGGTCTTTGACGGGCCTCTGGCGGGCCGCTAACGGACCTCTGACGGGCCTCTGACGGGCCTCTGGCGGGCCTCTGACGGGCCCTGATGCGCATTTGACACGCCTCTGACTACCGCTGCAGGCTCTCTAGCTCACTCCGTAGCCTGATCAACGACGCGGACGGGCGCGTGCGGCCCGTTTGCCTGCTGAGCGCCGCGTGCGGCGGCGGCGGCTCGTGTCTGGCCGGCCAGAAGGCCATACTCGCCGGTTGGGGCGTCACCAAGCCCGGCACATCCAGCACACCGGCCACCGTACAGCAAGTGATCGTGCCGATCATGACGAACGCGGCGTGCGCGGCCGCCTATGCCGCCGACGGGATCGGCATCACGTCCCGCATGGTGTGCGCCGGCCTGGACGAAGGCGGGAAGGACACGTGCCAGGTGGGCGCCCCGACGGGGTCGTAGATCGCGCGTCCGCCGTCAGACCGGGACGGCTGCGGGTCGTGGGGTAGCTGCCCTGAACAGACGCTGACACTGTCCGAGACGTAGGCGGTGGATCCCTGAGCTGAGCGTTGAGTGGTGTTGGTTGTCGTGCTGTCTCGGAGCTGGGTGTTGAGTCGCGTTGGTTGTCGTGCTGGCTCGGAGCTGGGCGTTGAGGGGGTGTCGGTTGTCGTGCTGGCTCGGAGCTGGGCGTTGAGGGGGTGTCGGTTGTCGTGCTGGCTCGGAGCTGGCCGCCGGCTGGGCTCAGAAGGCTTACCTGGGGAGATCAAAGCCGGTGAGTGCATGCCCTCGGACGCGGAGTGCAGCTGCCGCGGCGGCCCCTCGCCCGCGCTGAGCTGAGGTAGCGCGGTGCTTTTGTCTGCTCAGCTGTATATGCACTGCAAGCTGCGTTCATTCGATAATTTTAAGCCTCAACAGTGTGGAACGTTATCGCTATGGAGCGGATAACGTGCTCACGGCTTATACGGACCGCACCGAACTGAGAAAATTCCTGATTGCAGACCGTCATGCCAGTCGCGGAGGACAGTTGTGAGCCATGCATGACGGCGCGGGGTCCGTCAGTACCAATTGCCATGTGCCATTGTTGGCACCGCTCCATGAGGACGGAGCGTCTCTGACAGATGAACCACGCTGCTCGACAGGGCGACAGCGGCGGGCCCATGATGTTGAAGGGTGCTGACAACGTCTACACCCTGGCCGGCATCGTCAGCTTCGGCAAGGGCTGCGCGGTGCCGGGCAACCCGGGAGTCTACACTCGCGTGTCCGGTGAGGAGCACGCCTGCGTCCGGAATGGAGGGTGGTGGGGGGGGGGGGGAGGAGGAGGCGGTAAGAATGGCCTTAAAAGGCGCGCAAGGGCGCAATGCGCCTCTTACAACACAGCCAAGATGACAGCACCAGCTGGGCAAAAGTAATTACAATACAGCCAAGATGACAGCACCAGCTGGGCAAAAGTAATTACAATACAGCCAAGATGACAGCACCAGCTGGGCAAAAGTAATTACAATACAGCCAAGATGACAGCACCAGCTGGGCAAAAGTAATTACAATACAGCCAAGATGACAGCACCAGCTGGGCAAAAGTAATTACAATACAGCCAAGATGACAGCACCAGCTGGGCAAAAGTAATTCGACTCGCGAAGGGACACACATCGCACTAGTCTGCTTTTGGATTGGCTTATGTGGTTTTGCTGTACTTCCGTTATAGGTAATCATCTGGGTGTTTAACATACCGTTGGCTATTTTTACCTCTGCTTTTTACATTCAAGCATTATAGAACTGCCTGTCTGGCCGGGATTTTAAAGCAGCATTTTCCCCTTCAAAGTGTTGTTATATGCTTCCCAGAGCTATGCAAATTGTTCAACTGCCGTCTGCTAAAACACGTCCTGTCCTTTTCAGAATTTTATAACTGGATCAAAGATAATAGCCGCGTGTAGAGGCGAGCCCATACCTACCCTTCAAGCGAATGAGGTGCGCCTAATTGTTTCTGTTGTTTGCTGTTTGTTGTCTGTTATGTTACTTTGTTACCACGTCTTGTGTCTGGCGGGAATATCTTGATCATCTATCTGTTGTTTCGAGAAGATTTATCTAGTGAACAATGTTGCGAATTTTATCTTTTTGTAAAAGGATGAAGATAAATACAAGGAGTGCTGCCTCACCTTCAAATTACCCGCGACCCTCGCCGATTTCGAGTGCACCACCATCAAAGGTGAATTGTGCCAGGCTGAACAGCAGAATTGTTTTAGTGCAGCCTGGTTGAGCTACCTCAGAAATAAATGCGATGATTCTAAACTGGATGCAACCGCATCCAATAAAAATGAAAGTCGCTCTGGCGCGCTGAACAACGCGGCAACAGCATTACGTGCGCACTGCGAACATTTGTTCCGAGGAGTCGGAAGCCGTGTTTGCTGCCTTGACGCAAGCAAACAGCGCTCCAGACCGGGCGGGGACGGTCTGAAAAACATCAAACGGAACAGCCAAAAGTTCTACGTCCTATCTTATGCTACATGGTATAGTAATTGACACGTTCATGTATGCAGGGTGTATCATGTATAACATGGGTATAATGCACACCACAGGCACATGTGCTATTGTCTTTGGGCATCTGTCTGTCTGCCATTGTGAACTGAGCGGTGCGGGCTGTACCAAACAGCATTCCAGATGTTGCAACATTGTCCGGTAAATTTTGAATTGAAAACACCAGGTACGGTGCTGGGCGCTTTCCCAGCAGTAGCGAGCGTATAGTTCCTGCAAAGAGGAATTGCATGATGGCACGCTTCCGTTTGAGGACATACTACACCGTCCTCAGCGGTGAAATGCTATGAAGTTTTCTTGTTTTTTTTTTAGGAACGACTCAGTATATGCACCTTTATCTTGCACGGCCTTTCGATGCTCACTAGCAATTGATTCCGTTTGCATTGCATTAAGCTAACATTACAGATCCGAATACGTACATGCCTCGGCTTATAGATTAGTTTTTACATGCATCGATGTTTGTTTCAAGGTCTCACAGCGTGCTGCCAACTGATATAGACTGATATACTACTGATATAACTGATATACTCGCTCTACCAATGAGCCGCTGCCCAGATTGCATTTGCATTTTATCTCAAATTGTTACTCAGGGCCAATTTTATCTTGAGCTCACACAGTTTTGATGCATGACCGTCGTTTTCACTCAGATGCTGTGGGTACTGTCCTCCTTGGGTAGCATACTCTGCCACGTACTTTTAAGATAGACATTGGCACTGATATCCCCATGTTATTCTACAATCACCTACTTCTCCAGGGGCTTACGTATCATGACTAATATTCCTAAGCCGTCAGAAGTCTGACAGCAGAGCTCCGAAAATAAGAAGTGCGCAAGACGTTACATTTGTTCTGCAAAACTTCTGCAATAACGCTGTGTTTAGCAGATATGCTGGCAAATGAGCGCGGCACTTTACACTGACGGAAAAGGAGACTTGGGCGTTGCCGGACGCTTCGGGCGGTTACAACCGAAGTCCTGAAAAATTCTCTCCATTTCATGGCCCCCAGCTAGCTCGGCTTGGGCGTCAGCGCGTGGCATTCGAGATTGCGTTTGAAAAATGCGAAATGTTGACAGCTGCCGTCGCTTTTTGTCTGACGGCACTGGGCTGGTTTTGTGACGTAAGACGCCACTTGCATCTGCGGGGTACAGTCGGTTTCATGTCGTTATCTGCTCAGGTCGCCAAGACCAGACACCAATTCCGAACCAGCCCCCAAACCGTTTGCTCTTTGTGCACGAGTGCACGCACGGCTCAAGGCGCATCGATTCCGAGTGTTATCTGTTTGCCTTCTCACGCCCAACGCCCAATGTCACGTGACCGGCTGTTACCGGCACCTAGCCACTCATGCATTAGTGGATGTCAGACAGACGGACATTCTGAATATTATAATGTTAATATTAGCTGGCATAATAACAGCGGGTGTCCCGAGCATTGCTGTAGCCTCGACAGTGTTCTGACTTATTGGCAACTGAAATAGATACCTAATACTGGATTCCATTTCAAGAGAAACCCCGTGCAAACATCTTAAGTGGTTTGCTGCCGCAGTGCGAGGTGATTAATTACTTCAGGACTAGGTGCAAGTGCAAGACGACATTTTTTCTTCTTAATTCTAATGACTGCCAGTTACTGTCTTGGTAGTCTGGAGGAAGACCCCATATGCTAGTGTCAAAGCAGCTCCCCGATGTGACATGTAATTGTTCTTAGATGCTACGCACAATATTTGAAAAGCGGCAGTATCATAGAAGTGTCCAAACTGACAGCACGGCTGACCGAAGCCAGCCATGGTAGATCGCGTCAAGCTGGTCGTAACGAAAATACAGCCGGGGGGGGGGGGGGGTTGCCAGTTTTTATTTCCATTTTCTTATGATTGTTTTCGAATCTTTTCATTGGACGGGTCTCCGGAATCAGCGCTTATGTAATGCAGCGCTTCTTGCTTGAGCCCTGACCCCACCAGTTCGTCAGTTCCGGGTCAATGGCAGAGGTCTATGGCGAAAGCTTATCGTGCCGCAATGCTCAGCACGGTCTGTCCCGCCCTCTGACGTCACCTAACCTCTAGAGCGCCGCTGCCGCTGGCCGCACGCCATCCCAGTCAGGGAAAACAGGGAGCACCCAGTGCCGCGTGGGACGAGCGACGCCATGACCGATGGGAGACTTGCCCAATGTCATCGCGTGGATATCAAGATCTAAGGAAAATCAACCCAATATCTCCGACAAACGACACCAGAATTTTTTAGGCTTTTCAATTAGTACGCTGACAAGCGCGCTGTCTTATTCGTCATGGGATGAGCGGGCAAATAACACATTTTTGAAAGCCGTCCGTGAATGTCGTATGTAAAAGATTGCTCAAGGAGAGTGCGGAAAAGTTGCAAGTTCGAAGCTGCGGACTTCGGGTTCCGCTTCGCAAAGCAGTAAGCTCCAAACAACTGACTCTGAATTCGGCTCAACAGTTTAAAGGAAGTATTTCACATTTATGTAAGGTTTTCAACTTAAACAGCTATCTTGAAGATCATTCGGTACAGTTCACAGCCCTGCGCTTCTCAACACCTAAACCCCTCTAGCTTCTAAGCTACACACCCGCGAAAATGTGCAGGTTATTTCTGGGAGTCTATTTCAAGGTCACGCAGGTATCTATGGCGTCAAGGTAACATTATTAGAATATTGTCATTACATTGGCCGTGTGGCCATCAAGGCCAATAAAAATACAGTTGTCGATTCGTTCACATCGGGCGTTCGAGGGCATATTTGCAAAGTACCACGGCAGTCACCTGGCTTTAAATCAGTGATGCACCAGGTACGATGATGCAATCAATGACGTATTTATGGGCATATTTACTTAAGAGAGAAATTGCGTTATATGGAGCAGTCTTTTCCACTCAAAAATATACCAATAGATACAAACGAGCTTATTTCATCATATCTGATCCTTGCTTCAATATCTCCAAATGTGGAACATATCGTTTAAGAACAAGAAAAGAAAAAAAACGACACAAGGCACACTTGGCCATCTCTTAGAAAAATCAAGACTTCTTGCCTAATGTAACACTCTTAATAACAGGAATGGGACGGAGGGTGAGTCATTCCACAACGCTCTGCATATTATTTCTTCACACGTGGAACATGCCGCGGGATGAAAGGAAATGCAATATATTTCATGCTTGTTTTACTAACACGAAAATGACAGCTATCATTGATGGAACTTTAGGTACTATTGCATCTCTTAGGAACCTGTGTCAGTGATCAGGTGCAGGCGCTTAAGATTTTCTTAACGTTGTTAAATAAAGCTCGGTTTGCAATTGACACTGCCGAAAAGCAGCCTAAATTGGTAGTGGAAATCAATGTAATTTGTTTTGTGGTGGCATCATGGCACGAGCGTAATTTTCCATGTCTAGATATTTGGCTGATGGAGGGTGTGTGTGGGGGGGGGGGGGAAGGGGGAGGCAAGTCAATACCCTGACAACCTCCTTTCCCCTAAAGGTGTGTTTGTTAGCTTATTGTTGATCAAAGTGAACGTCGATGTTTGATTTCCTTGGACATTGTAAAAACCTCGTTATTTAAACAGCATAGCAGTCCTGCCCAGCAGGGACGCAACTTTAGGTCCGTTGAGGGAGCCATCTCCCCCAATGCTAATTAAGATTTCCCCTACCCATTGTCCCTATGAGCCTCCTCAATGCATTTTAGTAAAAGGAGAGTGCTACGGCAAAGAAACACTGGCCACTTTTCTTAGCTTCGGGGGCACTAATCCTATTTGTAATTAGTCTACCATCGCTGCAAGTCTTTTCAAGACGGTAATGACAGCCTGGGACCTCAACGCGGATGCCCCACCAACCCCACAGCTCACCAACGGCTCTTACAACTAGAGAAATACAGCCTGTACCGCGTTCACAACCCAATACTACCGCCACTGAACGAGGACACCCTAAACCTCATGAGACAGCGTAGGGAGGCTATAAGTGACGGTGATAATGAAACATACCACCGGATCAGTTGGTGAATCGATTCATCCCAGGGGACACCATGACCAACACGCCCTCCTCTGCGCTTTACTGCCAGCTGCATTCGGTAACATCCAGCACCTCAAAGCGTCAGTTCAAAAATAGGATTCGCCACGTAACACGACAAATTTGACCTTGTTCTCAGTAGGCGTGTGTCAAGTGCAGTGTATGGGTGGGATGGAAGGGAGAGAAGCCTAGTGTGTCATGAAAGTGTCATGTCTAGGGACATGAAATAGTCTAATTGTTGTGCATTGACCCGATTATGTGCAATATCATAATACACCAGGTGTACCGAAACGCATAATCACTGTTGGTATCGTGTCCATGTACCAAATGATATGCTGTAGCTATCTAGTATTTTAGGCACGCCAACTCCTTCTCATGTTACGCCGGTCTCCAAATGTTTCACAAGTTTCGTACATTATAACACCTGGATAGGGATTCAAAATACTTGACAGCAATACTTAGCACCCTTGCAAAGTGCTGGGTGGCAGAGGTGAAAATTAACAAATCTCCGATCAGATCAGATCACAGCGGATCCAACTGATCAGCTGAAAAGAACAGATCTCTCAACAGTGGCAAAAGTATTTGTAG